TAAAATGCTCCATCGCCGGGCGTACAGGGAAGGGACAGGCTCCTTCGTTTGGTTTTAATAACTGCCACATTAGTAAATTGGCTATACTTTGCTTGACGCACGGTTTTTCAATATAGGATCAATCCCTAAACAAAAATTCACCAAGCTACGCTCGGTATTCATTTTTGCCGTGTAACCTTAATACATGCATACTAGAGGCTGTAAGAGTGGGCAGGATCGCGAAGCTGTCATTCCATCAACATTCTTCCTTGTTTCGCGGATGATCTCCGCCTGCTAGATGTAGTCTTGTACGCATATAAGAGGCCACCTCCAGGGCTACTTGGGTTCTCCTCTCCCACGTTTAGCCTGTAACTCATGCCTAGCGTCATTTGGCTTGACGTCTATGTTTTGGTTTTCCACAGATACGAGGGTGTATTTGGGTACTTTCTTCTGAAATAGAAAGTCTACCTGGAGGTAGTGGGCGGACTTGTTGCTAGAAGCAAGGTCAGTGATCCCGGAACGGGCCGCTTCTCGTTTACATTGATGAACGTAATTACATGTTCGTAATGGTAATACATCACGTGCTGTTATAACCAGCGAGTTGAAATACTTGAACTCCAACCTCCGAGTGAATTCCGCATGCCGATTAAATTTCAGGTTCCTATATATGCGCATATATGCATTTCCAAAAGGAAGTTGAGGTCATAATATTTGCACAAGAACGTATGCATAGTCATTGGCACTAAGAGAGGATATATATATCAGTCGGAAAGGTCACACCACCAACTCACTAACAATTTGACACCTTGTTTCTCGTGTTTCATTGTCAATCATGCCGCAAAGACTCTGGCATTGGGACTGCTTTACAACACGGGGAGAGGATAAACCCCGTGCTCAATGACAGGATATGAGAAAGTAGTAAGTTCAATTCTCGCCCTCATTCTCTATCCTAATACAAGTGACTGCTTCCATCGTAGGGAAAGCCAGTCAATCTGGTCCGCATTTGGTCAGGTCTCCTTGTGTCCGATACTTCAAATGTTGGACACCAACAGCTTGTTCATCTCGCCCTCAACGTCCTGTCAATCGTGGCTAATTCAGCGGGGTGTGAGCAACTTTTCAGCGAGATGGGCTACATTCAGTCAAATCGCCACTCTCGCCTCTCAAACCAGAAGACCTTTGATACGGCTGTAGTTCGAATGGAGCTAAAGCGAAACCACGCCGCTACTGGCCTTACACACATTCGCTTGCATCGTCAGTTTGGGATTCCAGCTATGAAGCAAGAGGCAGCGCTTCCCGATGCGGAAAAAGACGATCAACACGACGAGACAGCCGAGGAACTTGCCGAGGTGGATGAGTTAGATGAAGAATCAACCGCCTATAGCATCAAGAAGCTAGCGGACAAACTAGTGCAAGATGTGATTGATGATGAAGACTTGCCAGAGGATGTTGCTAACGATGACCCACCGCTGCCAACCGAGCAAGGCCCACGCCCAAAGCGAATGCGGCCCTTCTTCAGTACACAATTCCCCATACCACTTAAAGATTTATTCAATTACAACCCACCTGAGCTGGAAGGACAAGGCCTTAACATTTTCAGACAGGCCGGGCTCTCGAGCCTACAAAAGGAACTTGAGGTATATGATTTAATGACTCGCGATATGCTAAGTTGGTCGTAACTTGTGGGCTGGGCAACTGGTCTTATTTTTTATTGTCCTTTGCTCTCACACCAGCATTTCTCACACTGTTTCGGTAGCTTTGCATATAACATACAAAACCAGGACAAATGTACCACGTGATGTATTACTTGTGTAATAACCGTAAAACATGTTTATCAGATTACATAAGTTACGTTTACTTACGGTTAACGCCCGTAAATACCAACACTGTTATCGTGGGCTCGGCAGAAGTTATAGGAACTACCATTGCTTGTAATTAGCGTCCCCACACGTGGTAAGCCTGTAAAGGTTAACCAGAGAAGCTTGTGTATGACGACTCATCAAGGGAATAGAGAGGAACCGATGCATGATGGCAAGCCAAATTAGCATGGAATGAGTCCGGCGATGCTGGTTGCCAAACTAGCGGCTTGTAGCAACTGCCACGCGGCCATCAGTCCTCGGTATGGGGGGGTATATGCATTAGAGCTGGAAGAGGAATTTGTGCGGCGGCTCATGTCATGAAATTAAGGTTGGTTTTCGGCAAGGTTTGCTTGACTTTCCCTGCCACATACCACGGCTCTGGCCGTTCGGCTCGTATAGTACGCTGATAATTTTGTTATTCAAGTGACGAGACATCCGGTTTCTTATTGTAGATTCCCCTTCCAGTGGCAAATACCATGCAAGAATACCTCGGTGGTGGAATTACTTGATGCTCAAGTACATGCGCGCATAAAGATTGCACAGGATAGTATTCCAGTCCATGTATGCCTTCCCAGCTTGAGTTCAAACCGGAAAGAATGCGATACATCTAGGTTATGTTACTCGTGTACACACAACAAATCCCATGTGGACTTATGGTCGGGAATGTTGGCAGGGCAAATGCTCATGCCTGGGCCCACTTCCGAGATACTTCCATAACATTTTTTTTTGTTAAAAACCCCCCATTAAAAAGGCTGACCCCTGCCCGGATTGAACGGACGACCTTGAGGAGGCCAGGCTATGGAAAGCCAACTGGAATCTCACGCTCTACCACTGAGCTAAGAGGTCTCGTTTGGAACCTAATAAAGGCCAATACACTTCGGTAGTAAGTTTGTCTATTGCAGAAATAATTACAGGTTGGATATTACCGAGATTGAGGCATACAAACATTGTATCATGAATTACTGAAGGCTTATGAAAGGTGTATTCCTTGCAAGGGGGCCCAGCAAAGTAAGCGCCGTATACGAGGCTGGGGGGGGAGGGGGTACGTATGGCCTGGATTGTGGGTCCATCCGAAGGAGTCCCACTGCCTTTTACGGCTCGGCTAG